CCCACCTATTTTTTGGTTACAGCTGTATATTGTTGTTTGGCAGGCCGGGCTGGATTCAAACCCATCAGCTCAGGTGTATGTGGCTGGCACCTTAGCCGCTTGAGCCACAGGTGCTGAGCCATGCCCAGCTATTTTTTGGTTGTATTTGTCATTGTTCTTTAGCGGGCCAGGGAGGCTTTGAACCCGCCAGCCCCGGTGTATGTGGCCAGTGCACTAACCACTGAGCTACAGGCACCGAGCCAAGAGCTCTGATCTTACCATCTGCAAAATAAAGATGGTCACAGGTTTCTTCTGGGGTTGTTGTAACAAAAGGACAAACACTTGGTCCCAGCTACTTGGGAGCTCAGAGAGATTCTCCAGTGTCCTTCAGTTCTCCCAGGTTCTGAGGGTACCTAGGGATAAGGGATAAGATACAGTGAACTCTGCCGGGGAAGAGAGGCACTTTAAGAGGGACTGTGGGCCCGGCACCATGGCTCATGCCTGTAGTCCTAGCAGCCTGAGAGGCCATGGTGGGGGGGCACAGGCTTTCATAAGGAAGTGGGCATAGGAGTCACCAAGGGGAGGGCCTGGACTGAAGTACAAGCAGATAGGTCTGGCAGACAGGACCTGGGAGGATAGAAGTGGCAGTTCTAAGAATGGTTTTCACAGAGCCAAGAGACCAGAAGAAGAATCTTCCTTCTTTCATTGTCCTACAGGTGGTTCTTAAAAGACAGGTGAGCAGTTAGCTGGTCAGTCCTAGCTGGCGACCTTTTTGATAGGAAGCCTGCAGGCTCAGAGACTTGCAACCCAAGGAGAGACCACTTTCTCGGACCCTCACTGCTTTCCTCTAACTTGCCCTCTGCTCTCTTTAGCTTTTCTGCAGTGATCAGACCTTCTCCAGATGCTCAAACTAAGATGCCCTCTCAGAAACTAAAAAAAAGGAAAGCCTGATGGGTTTCATTTCTGTCTTTTGTAGGTCCTTGTACAAGCCATCAAGGAGGCAAAGGAGCAGCACCCAGACATGTCAGTGACCAAGGTGGTCGTTCATCAGGAAACTGAGATTGCTGAGGACTGAGCTCAGGTAGGGGGATTGTACAGGAGGTGAGGATGCCACTGTCCCAGCCTGAGGGAGCGTATAGAAGTGCTCCCAGGGCTCATCTCCCCAAAGAGGTGTCCACACTGAGACCATAGGAAGTAAAGTCAGAGGAGAGGCTGATGAGGAAGATGCAAGAGACCATTAAGTATTTGGTTTCAACTATAGCAGCCAGGTCATTTGCCAGGTCCTCCTGCCCTTAGTGCTAGCAAGGGTTAGGTGAGAGGAGGGACCCCAAATGTGAAATCCCCACTCACCTCCTGAGTTTTCACACAGCCCTGGCTTCTCCAGTGCACTTGTCCCCACCCTTCTGTCTGCTGCTCTATTCTCTGCTGTCATTGGTGTCTCTCAGCCAGAACTTGGGAGGGCCAGTGGAGGAGAAAAACAAGGACAGGGCCACGCTGTCTGGAGATAGGTCTGGGGAGGAAAGGTGGGAACGGACGAAATTGTAGGGCCAGACTAGAGTAGAAAGCAGGGAAGCTGCTTTTTGGCAGCCAGGGATCCAGATAAATTCATGCCTATAAGTAGTTTACAAATGACTAGAAGAAGCCACCAATCACCAGATAGGACTGGCCCTAAAAATCATTCAGGTCCTGATTGTCACTTATGGCCACAAGAACTTGGCAGTGGAGGCTAGGCATGGTGGCTAATCCTAGCAATCTGGGAAGAGGAGGCAGGTGGATTGCTTGAACTCAAGAGTTTGAGACCATCCTGAGCAAGAGTGAGACCTTATCTCTACTAAAAATAGAGAAACTAGCTTGGCATTATAGAGGGCTCCTATAATCCCAGCTACTCAAGAGGCTGAGGCAAGAAGGTTGCTTGAGCCCAAGAGTTTGAGGTTGTTGTGAGCTCTGATGACACCACAGCACTCTACCCAGAGTAACAGAGTGAGACTCAGTCTTGAAACAAACAAACAAACAAAAAACTTGGCAATAGGACTGGGAATCTTTCTCTTTGGTGGGTTTTAAAATTTTGCTTTCTTTCCTCTAGGAATTATCTTACTCCCAACTCCCTGCCCTTCTCTCATCCAAAAGAAACCAGCGAAATGATAAAGAAGTTAACCTGCAATAGACTTCAGACTTTCAAGATTATTCTAAACCACCAGAAAATTAATTTCATTTTCTATTTGGAGTTTATACCAAGAGATTCTTCTAGATATCACTGATCCTTTTGAAGACCTTTTTCTATATTGTGGTATCAGAAATTCTTCAACTTTTCACTCTATGGATTGTTTTGAAAGAGTGGTTTTTTACAGGGTGGTTTGTGACCCCTTCCGCCTACCCTCTGCCATTTCCAACGCCAGTACTGACAGAGTCCATAAGATTCTTCAGGAAATCCTCTCAAGACTCTGTCAGCTGTGTTGGAGGCCAAAGCCAGCTCAATGGAACTTCTGTGCTCCTCCCCTAGTTTTACACCCTTTGGATGACAGCAGAAACTTTATGAACCATTTGTTTCTCAGAGCCAATGATGTAACTTTACCAGAATGTCAGATAGGGCGACTGCCCTGACCCACAGACCCCAGAAAAATGTCCCTGTCCCCCTCTGAGGGTGGTTTTGGTAAGGCCGAGACCTCTGCTAAGAATGTAATATCATTTTTCCTTCCTCCCTCCTGTTCTTTCTTTTTGGAGCTTCTTTGGGTCAAAGACATAGGTTGCTTTAGTTATATCTGATACTGTGAATGTTTCATATCCGTGGCCTTCACCTCTCCATCTGCCCTTTTACCTCATCAGAAGCAGCAGCTCTATCTACTAAGTGCTCCCCCCAGCTCCCATCTCAGGAGATCAAAACTCACGGGAAAGTAGGCACTGTTGGCCGAAAGCTCTAATGGAACATCTTTAGTGGTGATTTGGAGAAGGAAAGTTAATGAGGTTTTTAAAACAAGGTTTTCTAGTTCCGGAAGTGTGTACTTCACACAGGGGAGTGGTGGAGTTACCTCGATGGGATCCTAAGTATTTCCAGCTGATCGTCCCTGGGCTTTCTTTCATCCCGAATGATAAGAAATGTGGCTCTGTTGTGTTTTTTGACCTTTCTTCTTGCAGCTGGCACCTGCTGAGGACAGCCTTGTGGAACAAGGCAATTGGCATTTAGCAGCATCCTCCCCACAAGATACCACACAAGGGGCGTGAGCCCCAGCACCATTCCCCATTCGCCATCTGAAGTCCGTCAGGTTTTGTATAGGCTTGAATTTGTGGTGGGTTTTGGACTCAGTTTCTCTTCTTTTTTTTTCGTCTTTTTTTTTCCCTTTGGTTTGGTTTTGAAAATAAGGACTGATATCCCTGATTCCTCCTAAGGATTTGGGGCATTTTTATTCAATAGGGCTTCTCTGATCCAGCTTGTTTCCCACAAATAGATCTGCCTGGCGGCTTCTGAGAATCCTAATTCTAGGCTAGAAGTGAATTTCATGAGACAGACAGTGGGTCATGGACAGTGGTCCCTGGGGGCTCAAGTGCAGTGAACAAGAGAGAAATCTAAACCTCTATCCTGGCTGGACACGATGGCTCACTCCTGTAATTGCAGCACTCTGAGAGGCTGAGGCAGATGGATCGCCTGAGCTCAGGAGTTTGAGACCAGCCTGAGCAAGCGCAAGACCCCTGTCTCTACTAAAAATAGAAAACTAGTCTGGCATTGTGGTGGGTGCCTATAGTCCCAGCTACTTGGGAGGCTAAAGCAAGAGGATCTCTTCTTAGCTCAAGAGTTGGCGATTCCTGTGAGCTATGATACCACAGCACTCCACCTAAGACAACAGAGTGAGACTGTCTCAAAAAAATAAACAAAAAATCTCTGCTCCCAACAGTGGGAACCAGCGGCATGTGTCCAAAATCTCTACTAGATGACTTTTGTTTGGTTTAGACAAACTCAGCTGGTTTGAACTGATTTCAGGTGTGTGCATTTTTCTTTATACCCAGGTGAGAACTGTTACTGCCAATAGCCTGGAAGGGAGGAACACAGTGGGGACGTTGGGCAGACCTGGGGGAAAGGAGATTGTCTTATCTCAGGAACTAGAGCTCCTGGGATCCCAAAGCTGAAACCTGTGGAATGAAGCAGATGGGGGAAAGGGAGAAGGCACAGTTCAGCCATTTAAAAATTTAGCATACTGAATAATCTGTGTTATGCAGGTCAGGGTGGCAGCTTTCACAGCACAAGACCATGAAATGGGGGGCTAACCTTTCCCTCAGCTCTGTTACCAACTCACTTCTCTCTACTTCCTTTTCTGTAAATTGGACCAGAAGAACTCTAATTCCCTTCCAGCTCTGAGAAGCCATGATTTGGACAAGTCTAATACAACCGATGTCCTTCCAGGCCTCTTCTCCTTTCCTCTGTCTCTGGCAACAGATCTTGGGATTGGCGATTGTTAAGATTTTTTTTTTTCCTTTCTGCAGTTGTGTGTATGCGAAGAAAACAGACTCTGTCCAGATTGAAACGGTGAAGAGGGGGAGGAGAGTTACATTTCCAGGGTCAGAAGCTTGGCAACAATTTTCCTAAAGTGACTCAGACACACCACAGTAACAACTCTCACTGCAGTTTTATTTTCACTTCAGAAATAAAAATTTGTTCCAAGCCACGTGAGGTCTCTGGCACCCACCCACAAAGACAGACCTGTATTTATAAGCTGGGGGCTCAGGGAGCCTAACTGCAGGGACCTGTCAGGGCACCTGCACCCCCCAGGCCCATCACTGTGTGTTGGGGGGGCTGCTGAGCAGCTGGGGGGTGAGGAGACGACAGTCCACCTTAGAAATGGAGCCAGAGCTGTGTAACCAGCCCCCCTTGATGCTCATGGGAAATCTCTGCCCAGGATCTCAGCCCCAGGCTGGTTGTTTTTACAAATCTCTCTCAAATGTATTATTTTGGTGACAAAAATGAAGGAGCTTTGTAAATTTTTTTAAAAATTATGAATCACATTGAGTAGTTTACATTTCTTGACAAAACAGTAACTATGGCAGCAGAATCAAATTGGCAAAATCCTTAGATCAAATAGGCAATAGTTAGGTCTGCTGTTTTGGCCTTTTGTAGTAAGAAAAGTGGCTGTAGTGTTTAGATATGTGTTTGGTCTTGCTTCTTGTATTGCATTTTTCAATAAACTTTAAAAAAAAAAGGAAAAGACTGTGAGGATTGATCTACTTTTAAATTTCTCTTTTCCTACCAGCAACTTGGGAAAAATTAAACATGGGTGGGGGAGACCTACACTCAAGCTATTTTCTAAAGTAAGCTACCCACATTGGCCAAAATATAGCTTCAATATTGTATAAAGAGATTTCTGAAAACTGGCAAATGCTTTGTGCCAAATGGAGAGAAATTTAACAACATAGGCCACCATAAAGGAAGGGGAGAAAAGGGCTTCTCAGGCCTGTTTAGGGAGGAGCCAGACCTCAGTACGAAGGCAGTGGCAGTAGTGTATCCCAGCTGGGAGATGGCCCTCGTAGCTGAGGGAAGAGAGGGATTGAGGTGGTGAGAGTTAAAGGCTCATTCCCCATCCCGGATGGCAGTGGAGGGTCTCAACTCCACCCCATTGCCCATCTTCCCAAAGGCCCAAACTGCATCACCAGTGCCACCTTAGAGGGAACCGCCCCAACCTGTAACATCCCAGCCTACCACTTTGGGTTTGTCAAGACACCAGGTACATCTCCCAATCATCTTAACCTAGACCTCCAGCCCTCTCAGGGCTAAGGCCACATGTGGAAGCAGAAATTTTTGAGGCCAAGCCATGCTATGACTCTGCTATCCGCATTGAAACAATCCCTCTCCAGCTTACTAGACCCTAGTGTGGTTGGCATTTCTTTGCCCACATGCAGGTCAGGATGCCTCAGCAGCTGCTGTGGTCAGAGCATCCATCCCCGGCCTGGGATGTGGCTGAAGCATCTACTACACATTGGGACTCCCGGTCCTATTACCATGGTCCAATGCTGCAGCCTCATTGTAGGCCGTCCCTCAGCTCCTCAGACCCGGGCCAAGTTCCCTTCTCCCAATTTGGCATACCCCCCCAGACTGAGGCGGTCCAGCCGTGGCCAGCTTCGGTGAGCACAGTCCCGAGCTGCTGCGCCCCCAAGGAGGAGCTCCCCAAGGCCCAGATCCAGAGACTTGGAATGTTCAATGCAGGAACCAGAGGGCTGCACGGTGATGATCACGTGGCCAGTCTGGGTCTGCGGACCCCAAGGTGGGGGCAGCCCCTGGCCCTTCAGCTGGTAGCTGTTAATCAGAGCAGGTAACCCCAAGCGAGGATTAGCAGGCTCTGAACGCAGACTCCGCACTGATGGGACGGGTGAGGTACCCCGGCGTGGGGACAGGTCCCAAATTTCTGGCTCTGCGCAGCCTACGGCTCGGGGAGTCCTAGGGCCAGGGCTGGGAAGGAGCGCACAGTCCCAGCTGGGGCCGTCGGGGGGCCGGAGCGCCTGGGCCCGCAGCGCCCCCTGGCGGAGCCGTCGCGTCTCCAAGTCTCGGTTCTCATACAGCAGCGTGTTAGCGCAGATGAACACAAACAGGCCGACGCCCATGATCACCGGCCCGAGGAGCCGTAGCCGTTCATGCGGGCCATGAGCCCGGCCGGCGCCGCGCCCCTCGCGTCGCAGCTCACTCACGGGCGGTGAGCTGGCATTGGCCGCCCGGGGGCCCGGAGCCCCGGCTCGGTGCGGCCAGTAGCCGGCCACTGCGATGCCCATGCCCACCAATACCACGAGCGCCCCCAGCGCCGCGAACGCCCCCGACGGCGAGCGCAGCCGCAGCCTTGCCCGCACCCGCAGAGGCTCGGGCGGGGAGCGCGGGCGCCTGCGGCGGCCCAGGCGGCGGCCCAGGCGAGAGACACGGCCCTCGGGGCTCCTCCGCACCTCCCCGCAGTCTCCGGGGCTCCCAGCCGTCATCTCTCTGTCGTCTGGGCGCTCTGCGGAGAGAAGATGGTTGGCAGGGACTGGACCGACGGACGTAGGTTCGGGGTGCCAGGCTCGGGGCCCAAATCCGGGAGCGAAGCTCGGCCCGCCTCGCTCAGGCCGCTTGGAGATCCCTGGCGGCCACCCCCGGATTTTCCCGGGCTGCGAGGCGGGGAGCCTCCAACGCTCGGGTTTTCCGCAGCGGAGCTCCGAGCCAGGGACGCGCGACAGAAGCTGGAGTTGGCCGGGCCTGCGGGCGGAGAGGGAGGGGGGCGCGGGCTGCTCCCTGGCGCATCCCCGGCTGCGGGACTCCGGTCGCCTGCGCCCTCTTTGCTACCCCGCACCGGTACCGGGCCTCGGGAGGCGGCGGGGCCGCAGACAGCGGCGTCTCCAGGGTGAGTACCGCCGGGGCTCGACCCCACCCCCGCACGTGGCCGCACCGTAGTAAGGGAGGGAGGGAGCGTTCAAGACGCCCTAGTTCGCAGGGGTCGCTCGCGGCCCCACCTCCCCCCTACTGCGCTTTACATACCGCAGCGTGGGAAGGAAGCTTTTTCCTGCCTCTCCCCTCCTTCCAGACCTGGGTCAGCACTGAAGCTGCAGCAGGAGAGATTTGAGCTAGACTCCGGGAAGGCTGCTCTGACCAAGACCCGTCAGAGGAGGAGAGGAGGCAGTGCTGGACTCTGCCTAGGATTTCTTTCAACTCCGCGCAAAAGAAGCCCCTCCCTCCCCCAGCGGCCGGACTGGGGTCGGAGCAGGAGGCAGGGGGGCTGCCGGTGCTGGGAGCAGGGCCTCGCCAGACGGACTCCTTTCCCCGCTCTCCCGTCGGCCCGGGCAAGGCTGTTCCCAGGTTGCAGTGTTTCCGATTCAGGATCCTCCAGATGAATCATCCCCCTTTCCCGCCGCCTGGCCTCCTTTCCGGCCTCCTCCGCCCGAAGCCTTAGTAACCCTCGTCCCGGCCCGAGCAGCACTGCCCCTGTCCCTCAGGCCGCCCCGGGTTCCGGGCCGCACAGCTGAAGCCCCTCCTGCGGCCCGAGGCCTGGATTCCGGCCGGGACAGGAGTAGCCAGGCTGCGTGTGGTGCGGCCCCCAACAGAGGGAGGGCGTGGGAGGAACCCGGCCCCCACCTGAGCGGAGGGTTAGGACCTTGCCGTCCAGCGGTGCGTCCTTGTTCCCCCGTCTGGTTTCTAAACAGCTGCAACGCTAGAACCCTAGCCGAGGCCTCAGGGAGGAGGCCTTCCTACCCTACCCACGCCCCATCTGCATCCCCGAAGCTCAAAGCAGGACACCATCCGTGCTCCGCTCAGACAGAGGGCTGAAGGCCCAGGGCCTAGCATGGAACCGCAACGCCTACCGCGTCCAAAGCTAGGTTCTACAGATGGGAACTGCGGCCCAAAGAGGCTGAGGAGCCCGCCAGGGTCACATCGCTGGGGCCGGACATCAGGCTCCTGGACCCTAGCCCTAGGAACCGGGCACCTCTTGGCACAGCCTCAAGAGCGTCCTGGGAGGAGGTGAAGTCTGTTCTCTCCTTATCCCTGAATATGTCCCCAGCCCCAAACCACATAAGTGACTACCTGCCTTCAGCCAGCGCTGGCGCCCAGCCCCAACTCTGGGGGGTCACCTCTGGGCCCCAGCGCGTCCCTGCTGAGAGGGAGACAAAAATATACAGAGCAAAGAGAAAGGGACATGTTTAGGGACCCCTGAGACTCTGGAGGGCGTGACTCGACGCTGGGGACCCCAACCAGGAGGAAAATTGAAGGCACAGGTCCGGCGGTCCCAGGTAGCGGAACTGTTGCTCAGGGCTCAGTCCCCTGTTAACTCTGGGGTCCTCCCGCCACTGACCGCGCCCACACTCCAGGCAGGAGAAAGGAAGGATAGGGATCCCTCCCCCAGGGCCAAACAAAAAGTTAAGGAAAGTGGAGTGCAAACCCTTGGATCCCAACTCTGCTCACCTGGTTCGGCCGGTCCGGGTGTGAGTGCGCGCGCCGAGGCTCCGCGCGCTGCCCGGGTCTCCACGGAATCCCGGCTCCGGCCCCGGCCCCGCCCAGCGCCGCCCAGCCCCGCCCCCTGGGACCCCCCCGGGACTGTCTGAGCCGCGCAGGGTCCGGCCCCTCATCCGCAAAAAGGCGGCAACTCGGGCTGGAGGATCGCAGGTAAGCACTGTGTGCGCTCTTGGTGACTCGGATCCTCTGGGGACCAAGGAGGGATCCTGTGGCAGGAATTATCACCTCCACAGCTTGCAGACACCGCGAAGGGCGCCTCCTTCCTACGTGGAAAAGCTGAGACCCCAAGACCGAGAAACCCCGCTCAGCTCCGCAGCTTGAGCCTGCAGACTGAAGATCTGGAACCGCACACGCGCCCCCGCCTCGCCGAGCCTCTCATTCCAGGCTCCCGGGGAGCTTCCCAGAGGCCACGGCCTGAGTCCTTGCTCTGCCCCAACCGCACAGCGCTTCCTCGGTCTGCACCTCCCTGCCTTCATCTGTAAAATGGGTATAAAGCCGTCTGCCTCGCTGAGAGGCGAAAACCTGGCGTTGAGGACAGAATCCAGGAGCCTCACAAGCGGTCAAGGAATGACAGTCACCGGACCGGGCAGGGCGGCCCTCGGGCGGAGCGAGTCTAACTGGGCCTGGTGGGCCATCCCTGAGAAGGCGCCAGTCTCCAGCGGGGAGGCGGCGCTGGCCCCAAATAAAGAGGGTCCCACCTAACGCGGCGACCGGGCTTTGGTGCCCCGCCCGCCCCTGGAGCAAGAATGTGGAGTGAGCGAGCCCTGGGGGTCGGGCTGGCGGCCCAGTTTCCATGATGCGGGGGGCGGGCTCGGAGCCGGAGCGGGGACGGGCGGACTTCCAGGTCCGGCGCCCGGGCCCCTCGGGAAGAATTTCCGGCCTGGGATAGATTATAGACCGCCCCTCCCCCTGGCCTCGGGGACCCCCCGGCTCGCGGAGGACGGAGGGGGAGGGGCGGTAATGAGACCCGGCTGTGCGCGAGGTTGGGGAGGCGAACTCGAGGAAGCGGCGGGCCTGAGCCACCCCCCTACGCGGGGCGGAGCCGAGTCCTGGAGCCACATAACCCCCGAATCCGGCTCCCATCCTCTAGCTCCGCCGAGGGGACACCTCTCCCAACCCCCAGGAACCAGGCGTCCTCGGCAGGGACACAGGCCACCTCTGGGGACTGGGCCTTCTCCGGTGCACCAAGCGGGCCCACCCTATGCCTGACCCCTCTCGGCTCGTTGCTCTTCCTGAGTTCGCCTATTCCGTCCGAAGCCTGAACAGTGTCCCCGTCTTTGCTGTCACCGCCTGCTCCTCCTGCTCGCTCTGGGGGCCCCTCATTTTCCCAGCTTGGCTTTCCTCTGTCCTCCCCAGGGTTGGGGCTGCTTACACCTGGGCTCTCTGGGCCTCTTGGTCACTCCGTATTCTTGGTCTTTCCTCTCCTTCCCACCCCACTGTGCACCCAAGCCCTGGTCCCCTTAACTTCTTTCCTCTCCCACTCATCCAATCCATCAAGTCTTAGAGACTCTGCTCTTTTCCTCTCAAATTAACCACATTCTCCCTTCCCAGTGGCCACTGTCCTACCCAGGCCACTATTCCGGCCCAGATCATCATCTCTTCCCTGGAGCGGGCATGGTCTGGCTGCCGCCTGCCCTCCTAGCTGCCTGCACATAGGCAGCAAGCATCTTTCTACACTGAATCTGAACTTACCACTCTCTGCCTAAAACCATCCATGACTCCCCAGAGTTGTCCAAATAGAATGTAAAATCTCCTCTTGTCTCTACAAACTGGCCCCTGGTCCTGTCACCACTCCCTCAGGGCTTGCCAAGTTCCTTGCTTTCTGTCAGGAATACCCTCTTTCCTGTCATCCCCTTGCTGTCCCCTGCTTCCTGCTTATCATCCTTCAGGCCTCTGGACTTTCTCCCAGTCCCCAGATCAGATCAGCTCCTCCTCTGCCCTTCCACTCGACACCCTCAGGACACCATGAACTTCCCAGTGCACATGTGAACTGAGATCACTGGAAGTGGAGTCTTTTTCCTGTCTGTGTCCCCCCTGGAGGTAAAGGACAGGGCTGGGCCTATCTTGCTCAGTACTGAAGCCCTATGCCTGGCACTGTGTCTGCTCGCCGCTGGCCCTCCATGTTGGAGGAATTTGTACCAGGTTGATGTCTTCCCTCACCCTGGACCTCTTCGTATCCTCCACCCCTGGGGCCGTGGTCCAGACAACAAGGGAGAAAGGCCTCCCATCTGTTTCCCATCTGTCTAAGGGAGGAGTAACACTTAGTTCCCAGTGCTGTTTTTGAGGGTTAAGTAAGGGTACACTTATTCGGCGTATGGCATGAAGTGGGTGCCAGCCAACGGCCTTTCCCTCTTCTAACCATAGAGCTTCAGGTACAGAGGCCATGTATGGGGGTATAGAAGCCTTCCTGGGGTTGCTTGGGGTAGCAGGGGAGAGAAGGGTCCCTTTTCCCAGATAAAACCCTGTTTAATTCTCTTGACAGCTCTGGGAGGTCCATGTTGTGCCTGGTTCACACAAGTGTCTGGGAAGAGGCAAAGAGACCTGCCACAGATAAGCCAGACTGATCAGTGTTCCCCTCAGCAGAGTGACCTCCCTGGTCTGCTTGGTTTGTCCTGTGGATGTGCAGATGTGTAAGTAGCCAGTGGCCTGGATATTGGGACACTGACAGCCCCTGGGAGGCCTGGATCCCCCCCCAGTCAGCCCTGGTCTCTGTGTGACTTGGACTCCTTCACTTCTGAACTAAGAGGGGCCTGGACAAGATGTCCCCTGGGGACCTGGGTGATGACCATTTCTCCCCCAAGCTTCTCTGTGGAGGCGGAGAAACTGACACAGTGACCCTAAAGTCCCTGCCAGCTTAAGGCTCCATCTCCTCCGCAGAAGCTACCCTGGGGAAGGAGCAGCTGTCACCTCCTACATGTCACAGCCCTACCCTGGGCCACAGAACAGCAGTTGCCTACAAATTTATGTTATGTCACCTCTATTGGTCCTGTCTGGACCCCCTTGGATTTCCTGCCGAAGGCCCAGCCCTTGTTTCAGGGTGGCCTGGGAGAGCACTGAGAGAATCCAGCCCCTTGCTGGCATGGCCTCCAAACACAATGCCTTGCGGCTTCTCCCCAGGGTGGCCACGGCCTCCACAAAGACTTCAGAGCTGGTGTGATGCTACATCTCTGTACTCCCAGCTACTGAGGAGGCTGGGGCAAGAGGATGGCTTGAGCCCAGGAGTTCAAGGCTGTGGTGCACTCTGATGGTGCCTGTGCACAGACACTGCATTGCAGCCTGGGCAGCATAGCCTCAGGGCAGTCATTTCGATTCTCTGAGCCTATTTCCTCATCAGACTACAAGCCAGTTACCTATCTCAGAGTTTTTACTACCCAGAGCTCCCTGAGACTTGCCCAGAAGTGCCCAATAAACGTTAGCTGCCATTCTTGTATCATTTCTGTTTCTATTAAGTTAGCTCTATTGTTCCACCTCACCTCTGTGACCCTTTTCAAATTCTTGAATATTCTGCTGAGCATGATGGCTCATGCCTATAATCCTAGCACTCTGGGAGGCTTAGGCTGGTGGATTGCTTGAGCTCAGGAGTTCAAGACCAGCCTGAGCAAGAGAGACCCCCCCATCTCTACTAAAAACAAAAAGTAGCCAGGCATTATCGCAGGTGCCTATAGTTCCAGCTACTCAGGAGGCTGAGACAAGAGGATCACTTGACCCAAGAGTTTGAGGTTGCCGTGAGACAGGGCACTCTATCAAGGGCGACAAAGTGAGACTCTGTCTCAAAAATAAAAAAAAAAAAAATTTTTTTTTTTTTTTTGTTGAGACAGAGTCTCACTTTGTCACCCTCTTTAGAGTGCTGTGGCATCACAGCTCACAGCAACCTCAAACTCTTGGGCTTAAGTGATTCTCTTAGCTCAGCCTCCCAAGTACCTGGGACTACAGGTGCCCACCACAGCACCCGGCTATTTTTAGAGATGAGGTCCTGCTCTGGCTCAGTCTGGTCTTGAACCTATGCACTCAGGCAGTCCATCTGCTTCCATCTCCCGGAGTGCTAGGATTACAGGTGTGAACCACCACACGGGGCGCAAAAATCTTTAAATATTCCAGTTGGCTCAGCTGGAATCAGGCCTCTGTCTCTGATCTGATCAGCTGAGGACTAGCAAGAGGGGATAGGTCAGGAAGTCCAAAGGAGCAAGGGCTGGAAGCACAGATTTTCCCAGGAGCCAGGGAGGAATGACAGGTCCCTACAAATGACTGCAGGCTCTGAGAAAAAGGAGGGGCTGGAACTTGGGAGTTGAGTGATCTCCTGCCAAGGGCTGGAGCAGGGCTGCTGGCTGCAGTTGTGACTGTGGGCACATGTCTGTCCAGCAAGGGACTGAGGCTAGAGGGTTCCTGTGGAGATCTCTCCTTCCTCTGGGAGAGCCCATGGCTGACAGGTCACAGCAGGAACCATGGGGTAGGAAAAACCTCAGTTAAGAAAATTGCATATATTTTAGAATGTCTGCATATTTCCTTGCTTATCCACTGTAAACTAGGAAGCTCGCACTGTTGTGCAGAAAGGTGTGCTTAGAGGGGAGCAGGGCTGCAGGCAACCCACAGTGGCAACGTGTACAAGGTCTATGTTTGTTGTGAACCACTGTGATTAGAATAATTTGTCACGGCAGCACGACCCACTGAAAGCTGCTAATACACCTGGCAGTAGTGAGCACCTGTTAAATAATAGCTAATTGATTGATTGTTTTATTTCAATTGCAGAACAGTGGGCCTGGCTGAGGTCACCAGAGCAGAACTTAAGGATGGTGATGACTTGCCTAACCGA